ATAAACTCTGAAAAGATCACAAGGACACAAAGACTTGCCTTTTACAAAACGAGAGAAGTGTGTCAGACTGTTTAGGCTAACTCCAACAAGAGCTTGCAAACCTTCGGTATTCATTCTCCTCAAAGCACAGGCGTGCCGTCATAGTGATAATTCAACAGCACAGGCAAGTGCAGGAAATGCATTCCATATATGGCAGCTGCAAAGTGAGGCGTTTTGCACAGGATGTCACAGTTCAGCTATCTTTGTAAACGGCTGCGAAAGCGTCTGCACATTGTCTGGAAACTTCTTTAACAGGAAAACACCTGCAGAGAAAAAAACACAGCAGATATAGCAGTGAATAAATGGTAAAAAGTATCAACATTTCCATCAATGACATTACTGGAACTCTCTCTGTGCCGACGCCTGATGCAGTGAGAATCCATTCAACAAGCTGAATATGTTACTCATAAGCAGGGAGTGTATTCTTTATGTTTGGATTAAACCTGGCTATAAATATTGCATAGGAAACAGTGCTAAGATTTACTAAGATTGGACACATACTATAGTCATGATGATTAAATACTTTTTGTCACTTTGATCAACTTTGTTTTCTCTGTGCTTTTTTGATCTGAGCTGGTAATTCTTAGAATAATTTGCCACCTCCATTGATAAACTGCAAACCTATACAGTCTGAATACAGTTTAAACAGTTTGCTCAGAAGGTACAAATGTTTCTTTTTTCACTTCCTTTTATTGGTTTACTTTGTCCTTATTCCCTTTACCTGCTGTTTATTTTTCTTGTCATGTGTCCAGTCTTGGCATTTCGGGCATACCATATACAGACGCTGGTTCCCAACACATGACAGAGCAGATTTGCTCCTAAAAAGGATATTTGAAGTTTGTGTCATAATTGCATGATTGACTTTATGTTATTTTATTGGGATATTCATCATTGATGGGAACCTGGAGCAGTGAAGGAGTCAGTGAATCATTTACTTTAATTGCCACTCAATTAAATTTTACTGAGCAATACAATCTTTTTTTAATGCACCGCTGTTCGAAGAGCTTAACTTCAAACTTGAGCACTGCTAACAAACTAAAAATAACCACATTTGAGCATATTTTCTTCCCCCTGCAGGGATTTTGCTTGTCTAAGATCACAAAGTCAGGAGGAAGGGAGGGAGGCAAGGTTGCAGAGTCTCCATCAGACTCCAGCGCCCCCTGCAGACGCTCCAGAAGCACATACACCCCCCTGGAGCAGCAGGTCATGGAGCTGAAACAGCAGCATAAGGACGTGCTGTTGGCAGTGGAGTGTGGCTACAAATACAGGTTCTTTGGAGAAGATGCAGAGGTAAAAACCCGAGTATGCTTAAATAATCAGATGTAATCGTAGCTCCAGTGTATCTGCTACTTTGCAAAAGAAAGTATTCTCATTGAAACTACACACTTCTCATTTCCTAGTACCCCGGGGGAGGAGAGAAAACATCTTTGCTCCAGGTTTAGACCAAATAATCATTTAGAAACTTTTGCATTTGAACAGATTGCTGCCAAAGAGCTGAACATAACTTGTCACCTGGATCATAACTTCATGACGTGCAGCATCCCGACTCACCGCCTGTTTGTTCACGTCAGGCGCCTGGTGTCTCATGGACACAAGGTAGCAGATGATTGCTAGATTCTGATTCTCTTCTTCCCCCTTCCACTCCGTTAGCAGAGACAGATATCGTCTCGTCACTTCTGTCTGTCATTTTTAGGTTGGCGTTGTGAAGCAGACAGAAACGTCTGCGCTGAAGGCGTCAGGGACCAACAGAAACGCTCTGTTCAGCCGTCAGCTCAGCGCCTTGTACACCAAGTCCACTCTGGTGGGAGAGGGTATCCTTACAGGCATTTTCTGTCCTTACATGCCCCTAAAGTAGCTTTTTTTAAATCCCTTGATGTCCTTGACGAGGTATTATTTCCAGACGTAAACCCGGTCTGTAGAGTGGCAGACGTGGAGGAGGGGGGCTGTGCTGACGTGGTGTCGGACCCTCCTGACAGCTTCCTGCTGTGCATCAGTGAGAACTGGGACAAAGTGAAGAAGCAGCTCTCTGTGGGGGTGGTGGTGAGTCTGATAAACATAAACTGCAGCTGAAACCAAGCAACATGGTGTGCATTTCAACAATATGAAGCACATCAAATCTGAGTTTATCTGGAATCTAGAAGATTTTAAGTAATTCCTGAAGGAAATGGTATTTTCAGCTAGATAAACTATGAGAAGATCAGTGGTTATTTGTCAACAGGTTTGAGAGAGTCTGGCTGCCTCATGTTGGAAATATTTTCCAATTAAAGAAGTTCGCTAGCCAATTACATCTCCTCCTCTGTTAAAGTGAGATATTTTCATAACAAATTTATCTATTAAAACTTATATGAAAGTGTTGGTCAATGGTGACGTTTTATATTGGAGTCTTTCTTGGCAGATGTCATTGGTATTTGATCAAAATGAACAATGATGCATCCACAGGTTTATGACTTTTTTGTTTGTGTTATATTCAATCCATAACAGAGTATTAGGGCCATCATGGATTAAAATGAAAAATGGATACATTTCAGCCAAAAACGTCTTTAATATTCTCTGATGTCAAAATATAATAAATTGGCAAGAATTTTTTTTTCCTTGATTAAAGGCATACATTTCTGATATGAGAACTAAAATATCCTCTGACGTGAGAAATTTGTAAGAAAAAAAATCCTGAATTTGTAAGAGAAAAATCTCTTATAGAAATATTTTACACATGTTTTGTCTGGATTAAGGAATAAAGTCATTTACCCTCTTGTCATAAATATTAAAGACAATATTTAAAAATTCCAATTTCAACTTTGATTGAACTGGAAGGAGAGTCATTTTTATCCATATTTAAAAATATGGCTGACTTTATTTGTAAAGTCAGCCATCTAATATGAACTGAGTGATCAAACTACCTCTTTACCCTCTAATCTTTTGTTTTCTCCTTTTTCTGTCCCTGTGCTTGTATCTTGTGCATCAGGCCGTCCAGCCCAGCACTGGAGACGTGTTCCTGGACTGTTTCCCTGATGGTCCGTCCCGCTCCGAGCTGGAGGGCCGTATCCTGAGGATAAACCCAGTGGAGGTTCTCGTGCCTTCGGACCTTTCGGATCAAACCTCCAAACTGCTGCTCAGTATCGCTAATGCCAGGTAATCTGCTGTCACGCCACAAGGGGGCGACGTGTCTTCATTTTCCTCTGCAGAGCTTATCTCTGCTTCGATAGAACTGAGTGTGTCTGAGTTTGGTTCACTTGATTCTGAGGGGTTGTGTTTAGATTTCCCCAGGCAGGCAGGCATGCAGCCCTGCTGAGCGGAGCACTTTGGGCTTAGTGTGGCAGAGGAAATCGATGCGGGCGCACTGAGCGGTTATGAGATGGGGTCTTCAGCACGCAGGTTCTCACCACGAGGCTCAGCGGGTCCACAAGATTCATTTAGTATTTAAGGTTGTGGATGGATTTTGCTCAAACTGGAAACTTCACAGTTTAGTTTGTGAAGGTTTTTGGCTCAAAGTAAATAAAAGTTTGATTTAGAAGGACAATCATGTCACACTTTATGAGTTTCAAAAACACTGTTTAAACAAAGTTATTAGAAAAAAATACTGTTATGATTAATTTTCCAAATGCTGGTCACACTTAATGCATGATTATAAAATTGATCAAAGGAGTTTATTGAGATAATTTATATTAGTTGCTTCTATAACTTTAATGTGTAAATTGGACAAAAAAAGCTTTATTTCCGTATGATTGACAATTGGCTGTTTTTTTAAAACTCCTTTTAGTCAGAAAGAAATAAGCAAACAATCTTTTTCCTTATGTATGTTCAGAACTGACCTGTAAAAATATTTATTTTTTCCCCATAGTTACACAAACAGCATTGATTATTGCATTGGCAAACATTATTAACTAATAATAAAAAGTTTTTGAGGTTTTGGGATTATTATCATTTTGTTTTTTTTAACATATTTTTCATTCTTTTTAACGGTAATTGGGGGCAGGATAACTTTGGGTTCTTTTCCAGCCCACTACTCTTACTGTAAATAATAAAAGTAATAAAATGTGTTTTGTCTACATTCCTGCATTTTATTGTTACTAAAATAGCTGATATTTCGTATTTCTCAGTCTAACTCGTCATTCCTCATAGAGGACTGTTGTGTTTCTCACTGTGCTTCATTCAGTATGATGCAGTCACTGATCGGAGAAAGAAAGAAACGTTTCATCTTGCTTGATACAGGAGATTTCTTGCTCCAGTCATTTTCTGACTTGATCAACACAAAATCTCCTTTCTCCAATTTTACAATCGATTTATGTCTTTGGTTTCGCAAGAGGGAGAAAACACAACTTCTTTTTAACATCAGGAAGATCTAGTTTCAACTGTGAGATCAAAAAGACAAAGAACTGAGATTTATGTCTGTCTGACTGACGACACGGCCAGCACCGCTGACGTTGAGCTGCTTTGTTGTGCCGTCCTTCTTGTTCACATCGGCGCCATTGACGTCCTCTGTAGCCCAGCCATGACCGCGAAATCCTGAGGAAATGAGACAAGAGAAAGAGAGGGAGCGAGGAGCGTTTGATTACAAGCTGAGAGTTGGATAAACAGGAGAAATGTCTGCCTCATTCTGCGTCTCTTCCCTTCAAAAACGATTTGGAGCAAATTTATTATCCTCTCTTGCACAATCCTTGCAGCTATTTTCTTTCTTTTTTCAATTTTCAATCAGTCTCATTGATAATCACTGCTCCTCGGGGAGCTACCAATCAGAACCAAACTCCTCTTTGGCCTCTTGTGTCTCAGATAAGTCTATTACACGTCCGTAGCAAACGGAGCTTAATGACAAAATTTTCTTGCTGATTATTTTCTCACTGTTTTAATGACTGAACCTGAGAGAAATGATACATTGTGCATCAGTAATTCAGAGATAAATGTTTCAATGAGTGCCGGTAATGAGGCTCCTCTAAAGGAGCAGCCCAGGAGAGCGTCTGAATCGAGGGATTTTTGTGGCTGCTGACGTCAGCCTGTCGGTGCTTCTGTCTCTGGGGTGGGCAGACGAGACGGGACCCCTGGCAACGGACTCGTGTCCATGGAGTGGCTGGTAATGAGTCCCTCAGAGGTTGATTGTGACAACTGGGTGTGGTGTTGGTGGCTTTACTCGTGCAGACGGAGAGGGAGTTTGCATTTACCTGGAGGTTTAAGGTGGGGAATATGAAATGTTAAGATTAAATGCAAACATCCCGGAATAGATTCACTCCAGCTCACACAAATTCACCAAAAAACAAACTCGACTGCTCAGAGTATGTTTTTTGTTTTTAGGGGGGGAGGGTTTATTTTTCACCCTGCAGGAATGGCGCTTAGGTTTTATGGACAGTTAAAATATTAAAGAGATACTATTAGATGTATGAACTGACAGCCTGTTGAATTTATGTCAAATCCCTATTTTACCTAAATGTTTCTAATACTTTTATATTTTGTATTTTATGGTTTTAGCTCAAAGTATCAACCGTACCAAAACTGATTCTGTTTTTATTCTTTCATTTCTTTTTGTATAAACCTGAACCAGGACCAGCCTTAGCCGTCTCAGTATTTTAAGTCGGGCTCAGCTTAATGCAGTCCTCACCACGCTCAGGCCCCATCAGGCTTTTGCAGAAATGCTCCTACAACACCAACCCTGGATCAATAAGTGCTTCAGTCGCAGTTCTTGTAAATCTCGCAATGTGGTGCAACTGACTGGCTCAGTGATTAATTGCCCCAGTCTAATTTCAAGCACAATGTGGGATCTATTGATTGCTTTTATATAATCTGAGCTCCTGGACGGACCATTTGCTGAACTGAAATATGATGATTGTGTGTTTGCGCATGGGTGCTGGAAAACGGAAGACCGAAAGTGCTTCAGCGCTGCGAAGAGAGCCATGGCAACAACACGGCAGACAAAGCAACAGAGTCCTTGAGAGGTGCAACGCCGAGAGAGTGGATGGAGCAACAGGGAGATACGATGGTGCACCAGGGAGACGCAGAGGAGAATGTGGTTTTATGGCTGTGACTGAGGCTGTTGCGTCTCCATAGAGTGCTTGAACACAATATGCAGCTGCATCTGTATTTTTCTCGAATAGAAAACTGTGGTTAGATGTGAAGTATCCACGTTCAAACAGAGTGACAAGCAACACTGTTGTTTATCGCTGGATCGATACTAACACATGGTCGTTATAATAAATGAAGGTTATTGCTGTTGTTGTTCCCCTCCAGTGCTCAGACTGATGACCGAATCAGAGTTGAGAGGAGGGACAGCGCTGAATTTGAGTTCACCTCTGCAATGAACGCAGTCGTCAAGTTCTACTGTCACACCCCGGAGAAAGGTGGATTTTTATGTTGTGTCATTTTGTTCCGCTTAGAGCTTTTACTCTGAACGCATTTTTCCCCCCTGTTTGGTTCCTGCTATTAATACCATGACAGCCACTCAGCGGTAACACTGGATGTGTCTGACAAGGACTGAGCTATGACTCACGGCTGGGCTTTAGTGTTAAAAATCCGAACATGACTGCGTGTTTTGTTTTCCTCCAGACTCGCGCTCTCTGTCGAGCGTGGCCTCCTTCGACAGCCCGGTCATCTGCTGCCTGGGGCCGCTCATCCAGTACCTCCAGGAATTCAATCTGGAGAGGGTTCTTAGAAACGAAAGGTGCACGACACAGACGCATCCTGCAAGATTGATGTTGGGAATCCTGGGAGAGATTATTGAGATAATTACTGTAATTCTTCCATATAGAGATAATAATTAAAAATTTCTTTGGGTACAGCATTTACAAGAAAATGTAGCTTTTTTTTCTTTGTTGAACATTACTGTAATGAATCTTTGCTATGTTTAAAATAACCAGGAACATGTAACTGACAGCCTGACACTTGTATTTATTATTACAAACATACAATTCGAGATTTACCTGCAACCTTTGAAATTAGGGAATAAACACCTTCTTATATATGCCATTCGTTTTTTGTTGGGCTTGTGACAGTTTCTGTCATCTCATCTACAAAACTAAGCATTAAAATTGTTCTGACAAGGGGAGGTAAGTGGTGTTTAAATAAGATTTTTCATTTTGTGCAGCTCATTTCGGCATCTGTCCAGCGAATCAGGGGGGATGAAGCTGAGTGCTGCCACTCTCAGGAACCTGGAAATCCTCAATAATCAGGTACATGCTCCTGTCATTTAGCTGTCTTGGTCAATTTTTAAGGAAAATAAGATTGTACATGTGGAGTTAATGCATGATTCATACTACGCTATGAAATATTTTAAGGTCACTCTTTGTATTTGCCTCGAACCGAAGCCTGTGCTGCAGGACATAATGCACTTTGTGCGGCTTTGGAAGATTTACACGCTGCGCTGCCAAACGCTGTTTACTTTGGCTCTGTGTCATCAGCTCAAAATGTGACACTTGAGCATCTCGGCCTTCATGTATTTGTTAAATCATATGTTGTTATTGCTGCCTAATGCGTCTGGAGCGTTGTGCTCTGCATGTCAGCCGTAATGATTTACTCCCTGTGATTTCCATTTCAATAATTTTTATGTTCTTATCCTAAAGTGCTTTGCTGCTTGATGGTGCAAAGGTGAATTGAGTTTTTTCTTTTTTTCCTTTGATTCATAGACAGATGGGAGCGTGAGGGGAAGTCTGTTGTGGGTGTTGGACCACGTTCGCACTCCGTTTGGACGGAGACTGCTGAGGAAGTGGGTCAGCCAGCCGCTCACAGAGCCGCAGTGAGTACACGTCACCTTTGACCCCCCAGCTTCATTCTCACTCACTGGGTTCTCAGTCAGCCTGCACAATATCAGTAAAATATGCGACAATTATTGCTAAATGCCATAATAAGAATATGATTATTGAATTATCTGCATCATTTTACTTCTTTTTTGTATTTTGAACTGTGTTTAGGTTTTTAGGCTCCGAGTTTGTGGAGCATTTTGTGACTTTTTTATTTTTTTATTTTTTATCTGTGAAAGGAGCCATATAAATAAAATGTACTTACTTACTCCAAAGCAACAGAGCAAGAGATTGATAGGTACAAGTCTGTCTGCAAGCTCACCTTTAAAAAGTCTTAAATCCATGTATCTAAAAATAAGACCTTAGAATGTCTTCGATTCATTTAAATAATTGTAAGTTGGCCTTAAATACTTTAATCACAGGTCTTAAATGTTGTCTTTGAAGGACTGCTTAGTCGTGTATATTCAGTATTTTATTTTCTTGTGGGACTTATCTGTCAGTTTGAGTCTCCCCTTGCTTGCATTTTGCAAAAACACACACCATCATGGGTAAGTGTAAATCTAACACAAGCTTGCTGGATGAAGTTTGTACATTTCTTTTGAGATGCAGGTCTTAGATGCCCTTCAGAATGGTTTTAAAAAGCCTTAAATTTGAGTTGTTGAAACCCGCAGAAAGGCTGGTCTGGTGAAGCGAGATGGTGGCTGAAAATATTCTAGCTAAACACGGAGGGAGCCAGAAATACGTTCTACTGGAAAAACCAAACCAGTGACAGACTAATGGTGTTAAATAATGTCACCACCAGTTGACGTGAGAGAACCGACTGGGAGAAAACAAGAAACTCTGCTGCTTTCCAGGTCCTTGATATCCACTTTGTTTTCTGATATGGATCATTAAGTAAAATGTCAGGAAAACAAAGTTTGAGAATGAAAAATGTTATTGTCCTATTTTCATCATTATGACCTCCATAAATGATCTCCAAGAAGAACTCCTATATTTCTTGTTGCTTTAGTCTTGTTTGTGAATGAAACTGTGCAACATCCACAACAAATAACTCAGGTTAACAATACATACAATACAAAGTCCATAATGTTAATGTGCATTGATTCCTCTACTGGTTACAGCAGAAGAAAGAAAGCATGTAAAGTTTTAGAGTCAGCTGCTTAAAAAAAAAAAAAACAGGGATTTTCAGTCTAATTCTGTTTTCCATACAGTCAAATTGTTAGTAATTTCTGTCTCTGAGGGCAGCCCTCTTTTCTTTCTGCACAGGGATTATGGTTGTGGATTGGGCACCGCTTTTCAGATTAAATGGATAACATTTCTGCAGAATTTAGACATGAATCTAATCCTGATTACACGCAGGCGGATTAATTCCTCGACATGCTGCACATCAGCAAAAGGCACGGATGTTCTGGCCCAAAGCGAGACGATGCACCATGACTTTTCGTTCTGAGTATGATGTTCAGGTCACAACTTCTCTAAATCTGCTCCAATCTGCTTGTTTGAGGCTTTTTAATGGCCATACTCAGATGAACTCTCTGTGCTCTTCAGTGAATTGTTTTAATGGAGTTAAATCGATTCCTTCATGTGTTTTTACAATGATTTTTTTGTTTTATTCTGGAGTGAATGTCTTAATGTCTTCCCTGTCTGCAAAACCTCAGATCGTTTAAAGATGAACAGCTTTTCAGAAGTGGATCGAACGTGAAGAGAAAGACAGAAAAGCTGAAAATAATATTCTTTTTAGTGAAATTGTGTCATTTATGTTAACTATAATAAAGTAAAAGCCATCTAAAACTATCACCATTTGTCACTTTGAACGCTTGTACAGGAGTGTAATTTTAGGATTGCGTTGGTGTTGCAGTCAAATAAATTCTCCCATCAAAATGTGACACAACCAGAAATATTAACATTCATTTACATTTTTGAGATCTTACTTTTTTGTTTCTCTTACCACATCTTCTAAAAAAAAAAAAAAAAGTGGAGTTACTGGAGCGAGACAACCACATGGAGCTTGATGACTAATTTGCTTTTTAAATAATTTAACCTTTTATTAAGAACTGAGAACAAAATTAAACCAACTACCCACTCAACAGAGTCTGACTGTTCAACTTTACCACTTTTAAAACCAAAATTAATTGCCCACTTACAATTATTATTACTAACTAGATCTCATATCGTCTGACAGATATTTTACTCCATCTTTTACTTACTCAGGTTTCCTGTGTTTTTCTTGTTCACATTTTGTGACGTTTCAGTCAC